ATGGTCGCCGCGGGACCCGAACACACGGTGCTGCTCAGGAGCGACGGCACGGCCGTGGCCTTCGGCTCGAATGACCGCGGCCAGTGCGCCGTGCCGGCGCTGGACGGTGGCCTTAGCTACACGCAGGTCGTTGCGGGCTGGGCCCACACGGTGCTGCTCAGGAGCGACGGCTCGGCCGTGGCCTTCGGCTCGAATTTTGAGGGCCAGTGCAGCGTGCCGGCGCTGGACAGTGGCTTGAGCTACACGCAGGTCGCCGCGGGCTGGGCCCACACGGTGCTGGTCAGGAGCGACGGCACGGCCGTGGCCTTCGGCTCGAATCGCGAGGGCCAGTGCAGCGTGCCGGGCGATTGGACGGTGGGCCTGAGCTACTCGCAGGTCGCCGCGGGAAGGGCACACGTTTGCTGCTCAGGAGCGACGGCACGGCCGTGGCCTTCGGACTCGAATCACGTTGGCCGAGTGCAATGTTGTGGCCGTTCGCGGACGGTGGGGCGAGCTCCGCAGGTCGCCGCGGGACTCGCCCACACGGTGCTGCTCAGGAGCGACGGCACGGCAGTGGCCTTCGGCTCGAATCGCGAGGGCCGGTGCATGTGCGGCGCTGGACGGTGGCCTGAGCTATACGCAGGTCGCCGCGTGAGTCACCACACTCGGTGCTGCTCAGGTGCGACGGCACGGCCGTGGCCTTCGGCTCGATCGCGAGGCAGTGCAGCGTGCCGGGCTGGACGGTGGCCTGAGCTTACGCGCAGGTCGCCGCGGGAAAAAACATCACACGGGGCTGTGCTCAGGGTAGCGACGGCACGGCCCGTGGCCTTCAGCTGAGATATTACGCTGGCTGTGCATCCGTGCCAGCGCCTGGACGGGGCCCTGACGCTACACCGCGCGCACTTCTTGTTGCGCGGCGCTGCTCCTGCGGCGTACGGCTCGCGGCGGCGCGGTGCTCGGCCTGAAGGAGAAACGGGTCCGAGGGGAACGGGCCCAGGACCCGGGGCGTCCCCCCACGACCCAGACCTCATCCTGAGTCGTTGTTGACCTGTCCTGGGGCCCGTGTACGGCACTGCGGAGGCGAAGGTGCAGCGGAAACGCTGTAGGGGGGCTGGAAATGACATCCAACACCAACGCAGGGGGTTGCCACCACAGGCGGGAACGTGTTCTAGGATTTTCGGTGTTGGGCTGGCAACGTTTCGGCCCCCTTGGAAGCCAGAATATTACCACCAACGCCGAGATCGGGCTCTTCTTCCCTCGGTGGCGGCACGCCGCCAGTACTGGTGTTGGTGTCAACCTCTAGGCTCTAGGCCTGCGACACTGGAGGGCCCGTGCCCTTCCTGGCGAGGTGCGCTTCCTGACCCTGGGCGGGGTGGAGCGCTGCCGGGTGCCGGCGGCGCCTGGCGCGCCGCTCGCTGGCGTGCGCGACTGGCTGGCGGGCGAGCTGGGCGCGGGCAGGCTGGGCCCCGGGCTCGGCCGCGCCGACGCGGCCCTGCCAGGCGGACGGCTCCTGAGCGGGGCCTCGGCGGGCGAGACCGTCGCGGACGCCTTCGGGTTGTAGGCGTCGGGTCGCCGCCGTGCTTCGTCTTGGGCCCCGGGGTGTCATCCAGGGAGGGATGTTTTCGTGGGCCTCGGAATGCGTACCAGCAGCTGCGCCTCGCCGAGAGGCGTCTTGGGGGTCCCCGGATGGTCCCCGACAGCCGCCAGAGACCCGCGAGCCAGGCGACGAAGATACACTGGGGGGAATCATTAGGCTCAGGGGGGGGATGCATCCACCCTCAGTCGCCCAGTGCACGCCGATGGGAACCCGATAGCTCGCGCCGCCCAGGATCTTGGGGTTTCGCCATCGGGGCCTAGTGCGGATCTCTCCGCGATGCGTCGCCGAGTCCAGGTCGATGTTGTCCTCCCCCGCTGAGCCAAGTCCCCACCGTCGCTGCCTCTCAGCCCAGGAACGCGGGGTTTCACCATCGGGGCCCAGTGCGGATCTCTCCGCGATATGTCGCCGAATCCAGGTCGATGTTCCCATGGGCCCTGGGGTCCTGGGGGATCTGGGGCGGTGGCAACGCCATGCCAGCCCTCGCAGCCTCGGCGGGTCTCGGTGAGAGGCCAGCGCTTCACCGAGTAGCCCTGGCGCTTGCGATCCTGAGGGTGTCCATCCACGTCCACGGATGCCGACGTAGCTGGGCCCCAGGGTGCCCCATGCCCTCTCCGGAGGGGGGCGGCGAGAGCCGCGCGTCGCGCATCGCCGGGCGCGGGCACGCGAAGTTGGAGGTCCCCGCCTGCCGCTCCGGCTCGAGCCGGGGCCCCCCCCGGAGCCCCGAGCGCTCCCAGGAGCCCGCGCGCGCCCCCCTCGGCGGGCCCCCGGGCCTCCCGACCGAGCCCACGGATGGTCGCCGCGGGCTGGGCCCACACGGTGCTGCTCAGGAGCGACGGCACGGCCGTGGCCTTCGGCTCGAATGACCGCGGCCAGTGCGCCGTGCCGGCGCTGGACGGTGGCCTTAGCTACACGCAGGTCGCCGCGGGCTGGGCCCACACGGTGCTGCTCAGGAGCGACGGCACGGCCGTGGCCTTCGGCTCGAATCGCGAGGGCCAGTGCAGCGTGCCGGCGCTGGACAGTGGCTTGAGCTACACGCAGGTCGCCGCGGGCTGGGCCCACACGGTGCTGGTCAGGAGCGACGGCACGGCCGTGGCCTTCGGCTCGAATCACGCCGGCCAGTGCAGCGTGCCGGCGCTGGACGGTGGTGTAGCTACACGCAGGTCGCCGCGGGCTGGGCCCACACGGTTGCTGGTCAGGAGCGACGGCTACGGCCGTGGCTTTCGGCTCGAATCGCGGAGGGCCAGTGAGCGTGCCGGCGTGGACATTTGGGTGGCTTGTGCTACCACGAAGTCGCGCGGGAGAAACGTCCACTCGGTGCTGCTCAGGAGCCCGACGCATGGCCCGTGGCCGTCGGCCAGAATCACAATGGCCGGTGCAATGTGCCGGCGCTGGACGGTGGCCTGAGCTACACGCAGGTCGCCGCGGGCTGGGCCCACACGGTGCTGCTCAGGAGCGACGGCACGGCCGTGGCCTTCGGCGAGAATCGCGATGGCCAGTGCAGCGTGCCGGCGCTGGACGGTGGCCTGAGCTACACGCAGGTCGCCGCGGGAAACGTCCACACGGTGCTGCTCAGGAGCGACGGCATGGCCGTGGCCTTCGGCCTGAATCACAATGGCCGGTGCAATGTGCCGGCGCTGGACGGGGCGCTGACGTACACCGCGCGCCTGCTCGTCGGCGCGACGCTGCTCCTGCAGGCGTCGCTCGACGGCGGCGCGGTGCTCGGCCTGAAGGGAACGGGTCCCGAGGGGAACGGGCCCTGGACCCCGGGGCCGTCCCCCATGGACCAGACCTTCATCCTGAGTCGTTGTCTGACATTCCTGGGGCCCGTGGACGGCCTGCGGAGGCGAAGGTCGCAGCGGAACGCTGTAGGGGGCCTGGAAATGGGCACCAACACCAACGCAGGGGGTTTGCCCCCACAGGGGGAACGTGATCCTAGATTTTGGTGTTGGTGGAAACATTTCGGCCACCTCGGAAGCCAGAATATTACCACCATCGCCGAGATCGGGCTCTTCTTCCCTCGGTGGCGGCACGCCGCCGGTACTGGTGTTGGTGTCAACCTCTAGGCTCTAGGCCTGCGACACTGGAGGGCCCGTGCCCTTCCTGGCGAGGTGCGCTTCCTGACCCTGGGCGGGGTGGAGCGCTGCCGGGTGCGGGCGGCGCCTGGCGCGCCGCTCGCTGGCGTGCGCGACTGGCTGGCGGGCGAGCTGGGCGCGGGCAGGCTGGGCCCCGGGCTCGGCCGCGCCGACGCGGCCCTGCCAGGCGGACGGCTCCTGAGCGGGGCCTCGGCGGGCGAGACCGTCGCGGACGCCTTCGGGTTGTAGGCGTCGGGTCGCCGCCGTGCTTCGTCTTGGGCCCCAGGGTGTCATCCAGGGAGGGATGTTTTCGTGGGCCTCGGAATGCGTACCAGCAGCTGCGCCTCGCCGAGAGGCGTCTTGGGGGTCCCCAGATGGTCCCCGACAGCCGCCAGAGACCCGCGAGCCAGGCGACGAAGATACACTGGGGGGAATCATTAGGCTCAGGGGGGGGGGATGCATCCACCCTCAGTCGCCCAGTGCACGCCGACGGGAGCCCGATAGCTCGCGCCGCCCAGGATCCTGGGGTTTCGCCATCGGGGCCTAGCGCAGATCTCTCCGCGATGCGTCGCCGAGTCCAGTTCGATGTTGTCCTCCCCCGCCGAGCCAAGTCCCCACCGTCGCTGCCTCTCAGCCCAGGAACGCGGGGTTTCACCATCGGGGCCCAGTGCGGATCTCTCCGCGATATGTCGCCGAATCCAGGTCGATGTTCCCATGGGCCCTGGGGTCCTGGGGGATCTGGGGCGGTGGCAACGCCATGCCAGCCCTCGCAGCCTCGGCGGGTCTCGGTGAGAGGCCAGCGCTTCACCGAGTAGCCCTGGCGCTTGCGATCCTGAGGGTGTCCATCCACGTCCACGGATGCCGACGTATCTGGGCCCCAGGGTGCCCCATGCCCTCTCCGGAGGGGGGCGGCGAGAGCCGCGCGTCGCGCATCGCGGGGCGCGGGCACGCGAAGTTGGAGGTCCCGGCCTGCCGCTCCGGCTCGAGCCGTGGCCCTCCCCAGAGCCCCGAGCGCTCCCAGGAGCCCGCGCGCGCCCCCCTCGGCGGGCCCCCTGGCCTCCCGACCGAGCCCACGGATGGTCGCCGCGGGAGGCGCACACACGGTGCTGCTCAGGAGCGACGGCACGGCCGTGGCCTTCGGCGAGAATCACGCCGGCCAGTGCAGCGTGCCAGCGCTGGACGGTGGCCTTAGCTACACGCAGGTCGCCGCGGGCGCGGCCCACACGGTGCTGCTCAGGAGCGACGGCACTGCCGTGGCCTTCGGCTCGAATCTTGAGGGCCAGTGCAGCGTGCCGGCGCTGGACAGTGGCTTGAGCTATACGCAGGTCGCCGCGGGCTGGGCCCACACGGTGCTGGTCAGGAGCGACGGCACGGCCGTGGCCTTCGGCGAGAATCGCGAGGGCCAGTGCAGCGTGCCGGCGCTGGACGGTGGCTTGAGCTACACGCAGGTCGCCGCGGGAAACGTCCACACGGTGCTGCTCAGGAGCGACGGCATGGCCGTGGCCTTCGGCCTGAATCACAATGGCCGGTGCAATGTGCCGGCGCTGGACGGTGGCCTGAGCTACACGCAGGTCAGTTTTGGGTTTGTTTTGGGCTTTCTTTTTTGTTTCATGTTGTTTTGTATTTATAATTTTAATTTCTTTTTTTTTTTTTTGTTTTTTTTTTTTTTTTGTTTTGATGTTCTTTCTTGTTTATTTTTTATATTCTTGCTAGTTTTTTTATATTCTTGCTTTTTTTGTTGTGATGCTTTTTGTTGTGATTTGTTTGCTGGTGCGGGATGGGCTTTCCACCTGTGGTGCATGTGCGCGACGCCATCGGCCGTGGCCTTCGGCTGGTATGGTCGTGGCCAGTGCAACGTGCCGGCGCTGGACGGGGGCTTGAGCTACACGCCAGTGTCGCCGCCGGATTGGGGGCCCCACGCGGTGCTGGTCGAGGAGGCGACGGGACGGCCGTGGCCTTCGGCTCGAATTTCAAGTTGGCCAGTGCAATGTGCCGGCGCTGGACGGTGGCCTGAGCTACACGCAGGTCGCCGCGGGAGGCTCCCACACGGTGCTGCTCAGGAGCGACGGCGCGGCCGTGGCCTTCAGCGAGAATTACGCTGGCCAGTGCAACGTGCCAGCGCTGGACGGGGCGCCGACGTACACCGCGCGCCTGCTCGTCGGCGCGACGCTGCTCCTGCAGGCGTCGCTCGACGGCGGCGCGGTGCTCGGCCTGAAGGGAACGGGTCCCGAGGGGAACGGGCCCTGGACCCCGGGGCCGTCCCCCATGGACCAGACCTTCATCCTGAGTCGTTGTCTGACATTCCTGGGGCCCGTGGACGGCCTGCGGAGGCGAAGGTCGCAGCGGAACGCTGTAGGGGGCCTGGAAATGGGCACCAACACCAACGCAGGGAGTTTGCCCCCACAGGGGGAACGTGATCCTAGATTTCGGTGTTGGTGGAAACATTTCGGCCACCTTGGAAGCCAGAATATTACCACCATCGCCGAGATCGGGCTCTTCTTCCCTCGGTGGCGGCACGCCGCCGGTACTGGTGTTGGTGTCAACCTCTAGGCTCTAGGCCTGCGACACTGGAGGGCCCGTGCCCTTCCTGGCGAGGTTGCGCTTCCTGGACCCTGGGCACGGTTGGAGCGCTGCCGGGTGGCGGGCGGCGCCTGGCGGCCGGCCGCTCGCTGGCGTGCAGCCGACTGGCTGGCGGGCGAGCTGGGGCGGGCAGGCTGGGCCCCGGGATTGCTCCGGCCCGCGCCGACGGCGGCCCGCAAGGCGGACGGCTCCTGAGCGGGTGGCCTCGGCGGGCGAGAACACGACGCGGACGCCTTCGGGTTGTTAGGCGTCGGGGTCGCCGCGTGCTTCGTCTTGGAGCCCCGGGGTGGGCAGTCATCCAGGGTAGGATGGTTTCTTCGTGGGCTCCTCGGAATGTTACCAGCAGCTGCGCCTCGCCGAGAGGCGTCTTGGGGGTCCCCGGATGGTCCCCGACAGCCGCCAGAGACCCGCGAGCCAGGCGACGAAGATACACTGGGGGGAATCATTAGGCTCAGGGGGGGATGCATCCACCCTCAGTCGCCCAGTCCACGCCGACGGGAGCCCGATAGCTCGCGCCGCCCAGGATCTTGGGGTTTCGCCATCGCGGCCTAGCGCAGATCTCTCCGCGATGTGTCGCCGAGTCCAGGTCGATGTTGTCCTCCCCCGCCGAGCCAAGTCCCCACCGTCGCTGCCTCTCAGCCCAGGAACGCGGGGGTTCACCATCGGGGCCCAGTGCGGATCTCTCCGCGATGTGTCGCCGAATCCAGGTCGATGTTCCCATGGGCCCTGGGTCCTGGGGGATCTGGGGCGGTGGCAACGCCATGCCAGCCCTCGCAGCCTCGGCGGGTCTCGGTGAGAGGCCAGCGCTTCAGCGAGTAGCCCTGGCGCTTGCGATCCTGAGGGTGTCCATCCACGTCCACGGATGCCGACGTAGCTGGGCCCCAGGGTGCCCCATGGCCGCTCGGAGGGGGGCGGCGAGAGCCGCGCGTCGCGCATCGCGGGGCGCGGGCACGCGAAGTTGGAGGTCCCCGCCTGCCGCTCCGGCTCGAGCCGTGGCCCTCCCCGGAGCCCCGAGCGCTCCCAGGAGCCCGCGCGCGCCCCCCTCGGCGGGCCCCCGGGCCTCCCGACCGAGCCCACGGATGGTCGCCGCGGGAGGCGCACACACGGTGCTGCTCAGGAGCGACGGCACGGCCGTGGCCTTCGGCGAGAATCACGCCGGCCAGTGCAGCGTGCCGGCGTTGGACGGTGGCCTTAGCTACACGCAGGTCGCCGCGGGCGCGGCCCACACGGTGCTGCTCAGGAGCGACGGCACTGCCGTGGCCTTCGGCTCGAATCTTGAGGGCCAGTGCAGCGTGCCGGCGCTGGACAGTGGCTTGAGTATACGCAGGTCGCCGCTGGGTGGCCCACACGGTGCGCGCGGGAGCGACGCACGGCGTGGCCTTCGGCGAGAGCAGAGAATCGCGAGGCCAGTGCAGCGTGCCGGCGCTGGACGGTGGCTTGAGCTACACGCAGGTCGCCGCGGGAAACGTCCACACGGTGCTGCTCAGGAGCGACGGCACTGCCGTGGCCTTCGGCTCGAATCACAATGGCCGGTGCAATGTGCCGGCGCTGGACGGTGGCCTGAGCTACACGCAGGTCGCCGCGGGAGGCTTCCACACGGTGCTGCTCAGGAGCGACGGCACGGCCGTGGCCTTCGGCTGGAATGGTCGTGGCCAGTGCAACGTGCCGGCGCTGGACGGTGGCTTGAGCTACACGCAGGTCGCCGCCGGAGGGGCCCACGCGGTGCTGGTCAGGAGCGACGGCACGGCCGTGGCCTTCGGCTCGAATCAAGATGGCCAGTGCAATGTGCCGGCGCTGGACGGTGGCCTGAGCTACACGCAGGTCGCCGCGGGAGGCTCCCACACGGTGCTGCTCAGGAGCGACGGCGCGGCCGTGGCCTTCAGCGAGAATTACGCTGGCCAGTGCAACGTGCCAGCGCTGGACGGGGCGCCGACGTACACCGCGCGCCTGCTCGTCGGCGCGACGCTGCTCCTGCAGGCGTCGCTCGACGGCGGCGCGGTGCTCGGCCTGAAGGGAACGGGTCCCGAGGGGAACGGGCCCTGGACCCCGGGGCCGTCCCCCATGGACCAGACCTTCATCCTGAGTCGTTGTCTGACATTCCTGGGGCCCGTGGACGGCCTGCGGAGGCGAAGGTCGCAGCGGAACGCTGTAGGGGGCCTGGAAATGGGCACCAACACCAACGCAGGGGGTTTGCCCCCACAGGGGGAAGGTGATCCTAGATTTCGGTGTTGGTGGAAACATTTCGGCCACCTCGGAAGCCAGAATATTACCACCATCGCCGAGATCGGGCTCTTCTTCCCTCGGTGGCGGCACGCCGCCGGTACTGGTGTTGGTGTCAACCTCCAGGCTCTAGGCCTGCGACACTGGAGGGCCCGTGCCCTTCCTGGCGAGGTGCGCTTCCTGACCCTGGGCGGGGTGGAGCGCTGCCGGGTGCGGGCGGCGCCTGGCGCGCCGCTCGCTGGCGTGCGCGACTGGCTGGCGGGCGAGCTGGGCGCGGGCAGGCTGGGCCCCGGGCTCGGCCGCGCCGACGCGGCCCTGCCAGGCGGACGGCTCCTGAGCGGGGCCTCGGCGGGCGAGACCGTCGCAGACGCCTTCGGGTTGTAGGCATCGGGTCGCCGCCGTGCTTCGTCTTGGGCCCCGGGGTGGCATCCAGGGAGGGGTGTTTTCGCGGGCCTCGGGATGCGTACCAGCAGCTGCGCCTCGCCGAGAGGCGTCTGGGGGTGCCCGGGTGGTCCCCGACAGCCGCCAGAGACCCGCGAGCCGGGCGACGAAGATACACTGGGGGGAATCATTAGGCTCAGAATGGGGTCAACTGTGTCGCAGTATCTCGTATTTCACGCTCGCTGTAGGTCTCTCAGATCGCTGGCAGTTGTATCGGGTTGCAGTAGATCGTGTTTTTGTCGCTGTCGATCGTCTCTTGATCGCTGCAGGGCGCTTTCGGCGGTGAGATGTTGACGATGCAGAGGTGTGTATTTCCGGCCATGCTGAAGCTTGGCCGGTGACTTGCAGTCTCGTGCGATGTGACCGAGCCCGCCGCACCTCAGGCACACGGATGTTCGGGTCCTTGTGCCTGTCCCATGGTGCGACGTCAGGTGGGGCTACACTTATGCTCGGGAGGGATGTTTTCGCGGGCCTCGGCATTTCCCAGTCTCGGGATGCGTACCAGCAGCTGCGCCTCGCCGAGAGGCGTCTGGGGGTGCCCGGATGGCCCGCGACGGCCGCCGGAGACCCGCGAGCCAGGCGACGAAGATACATTGGGGGGGAATAGGCTCAGGGGGTGGGGGGTGCATCGACCCTCAGTCGCCCATTCCACGCCGACGTCAGCCCGATAGCTCGCGCTGCCCAGGATCCTCGTCCTCCTCCTCCTCCTCCTCCTCTTCTTCTTCTTCTTCTTCCTCCTCCTCCTCCTCCTTCTCCTCCTCTTCCTCCTCTTCCTCCTCCTCCTCCTCCTCCTCCTCCTCCTCCTCCGCGATGTGTCGCCGAGCCCAGGTCGATGTTGTCCTCCCCCGCCGAGCCAGGTCCCCGCCCTCGCTGCCCGAGCCCGCCCGGGAGCGTGGGGCGCGGGCACGCGAGGTTTTCGGTCGGGCCGGTCCCCCCTACAGGGGGCTTTTGGACGACAGACCAGAAATGACCCCAAAAATATACCCAGAGATCCAGCGTAATGAAAAAATCAAGACGGAGGTGTTTCATATTTTTCGGCCTCGAGGGGCCCTCGCCGGGCCCCGGGACCGTCAACAAAAACGACTCAGGATGAGAAACCGGCCCCGAGGAAAGGGTCGAGACTTCTGGGGACCCCGCGTTGAAAACATCACGACGTCGGATCTCAGGGTACTCCACAAATGCTCAAGAATGATCCAGAACTCGTCCCCTGACTATTCTTGGACGATTTTTGACTGCTCCTCCTCTGGAGGCACCCGCCCGACTCGAGCGAAGCTGGAGGCCCCCGCTCCGCCTCCAGCCGCGGCCCTCCCTGGAGCACCGAGCGCTCCCGAGCAGCCCGCCCGCGCGCCCCCCTCGGCGGGCCCTCGGACCTCCCGGCCGTCCCACTGAGGAGGCGGGGGTGAGGTGGCGCCCAGGGCGCTTGCCGATCCATAGGGTGCCCATAAAACGTCCACTATGCGAGGTGTAACATCCTGTTTTGTTTGGTTCCAAGTCCATACACACACTCCACGTCACTGCGAGTAGCGCATCGTTGAAACGCAAGCGCCCCAGCGCCCTGGCGCTTGCGATCCAGAGGGCGCCCTGCGCTTTGCGATCCAGAGGTGTCCACGGATACCGACCGCAACTGGGCTCACAGGGAGCCCCCCGCCATGGCCGCTCGGAGGGGGTTGGTCGAGAGCCGCGCGTCCGCCCCATCGCGGGGCGCGGGCACACGAAGAATGGAGGTCCCCGCCTGCCGCCCCGGCTCGAGCCGTCGGCCCTCCCCGGAGCCCCGAGCGCTCCCAGAGCCCGCGCCCGCGCCCCCACGCGGGCCCCAGGCCTCCCGACCGCGCCCACGGATGGTCGCCGCGGGAGGCGAACACACGGTGCTGCTCAGGAGCGACGGCACGGCCGTGGCCTTCGGCGAGAATGACCGCGGCCAGTGCGCCGTGCCGGCGCTGGACGGTGGCCTGAGCTACACGCAGGTCGCCGCCGGACAGTTCCACACGGTGCTGCTCAGGAGCGACGGCACGGCCGTGGCCTTCGGCTCGAATCGTCGCGGCCAGTGCGCCGTGCCGGCGCTGGACGGTGGCCTGAGCTACACGCAGGTCGCCGCCGGAGGCGCCCATACGGTGCTGCTCAGGAGCGACGGCACGGCCGTGGCCTTCAGCTCGAATGCCTGCGGCCAGTGCACCGTGCCGGCGCTGGACGGTGGCCTGAGCTACACGCAGGTCGCCACCGGAGGACGCCATACGGTGCTGCTCAGGAGCGACGGCACGGCCGTGGCCTTCGGCTGGAATGGTCGCGGCCAGTGCGCCGTGCCGGCGCTGGACGGTGGCCTGAGCTACACGCAGGTCGCCGCCGGAGATGCCCACACGGTGCTGCTCAGGAGCGACGGCACGGCCGTGGCCTTCGGCTCGAATGGTTGTGGCCAGTGCGCCGTGCCGGCGCTGGACGGTGGCCTGAGCTACACGCAGGTCGCCGCCGGAGGAGGCCACACGGTGCTGCTCAGGAGCGACGGCACGGCCGTGGCCTTCGGCTCGAATCCCTACGGCGAGTGCGCCGTGCCGGCGCTGGACGGTGGCCTGAGCTACACGCAGGTCGCCGCGGGAGATGCCCACACGGCGCTGCTCAGGAGCGACGGCACGGCCGTGGCCTTCGGCTCGAATGGTCGCGGCGGCCGGGATTTCGAGGGCGCTGGACGGGGCGCTGACGTACACCGCGCGCTTCGGCGCGGCGCTGCTCCTGCAGGCGTCGCTCGACGGCGGCGCGGTGCTCGGCCGGAAGGGAGCGGGTCCCGGGGGGAACGGGCCCTGGGCCCCGGGGCCGTCCCCCGGACCTTCATCCTGAGTCGTTGTCTGACAGTCTTGGGGCCCGTGGACGGCCTGCGGAGGCGAAGGTCGCAGCGGAACGCTGCAGGGGGCCCGGAAAGGGGCACCAACTCCAACGCAGGGGGGTTTGCCTCCACAGGGGGAAGGCGATCCCAGATTTCGGCGTTGGCGGGAACATTTCGGCCACCTCGGAAGCCAGGATATTACCACCATCGCCGAGCTCGGGCTCTTCTTCCCTCGGTGGCGGCACGCCGCCGGTTTGTTGGTGTTGGTGTCAACCTCTGGGCTCTAGGCCTGCGACACTGGATGACCCGTTCCCTTCCTGGCGAGGTGCGCTTCCTGACCCTGGGCGGGGTGGAGCTGGCTGCCACCAGGGGGCGGGCGGCCCCGGAGGCGCCGCTCCTGTGGCGTGCCCGACTGGCTGGGCGGGCAGCTGGGGGGGGGGGGGCGCGGGCAGGCTGGGCCCCGGGATCGGCCGCGCCGACGCGGCCCTGCCAGGCGGACGGCTCCTGAGCGGGGCCTCGGCGGGCGAGACCGTCGCGGACGCCTTCGGGTTGTAGGCATCGGGTCGCCGCCGTGCTTCGTCCTGGGCACCCGGGGTGGCATCCAGGGAGGGGTGTTTTCGCGGGCCTCGGGCTGCGTACCAGCAGCTGCGCCTCGCCGAGAGGCGTCTGGGGGTGCCCGGGTGGTCCCCGACAGCCGCCAGAGACCCGCGAGCCAGGCGACGAAGATACACTGGGGGGAATAATTAGGCTCAGACTGGGGCTCAACTGTGTCGCAGTATATCGTATCTTCACCGCTCGCTGTAGGTCGCCTCCAGATCGCTGCAGATCGTATCCGGGTTGCAGTAGATCGTGTTTTTGTCGCTGCCGATCGTATCTTGATCGCTGCAGGGCGCTTTCGGCGGTGAGATGTTGACGATGCAGAGGTGTGTATTTCCGGCCATGCTGAAGCTTGGCCGGTGACTTGCAGTCTCGTGCGATGTGACCGAGCCCGCCGCACCTCAGGCACACGGATGTTCGGGTCCTTGTGCCTGTCCCATGGTGCGACGTCAGGTGGGGCTACACTTATGCTCGGGGGGGGATGTTTTCGCGGGCCTCGGCACTTCCCAGTCTCGGGATGCGTACCAGCAGCTGCGCCCCGCCGAGAGGCGTCTGGGGGTGCGCGACGGCCGCCGGAGACCCGCGAGCCAGGCGACGAAGATACACTGGCGGGGAATAGGCTCAGGGGGGGGGGTGCATCGACCCTCAGTCGCCCATTCCACGCCGACGTCAGCCCGATAGCTCGCGCTGCCCAGGATCCTCGTCCTCCTCCTCCTCCTCCTCCTTTCCTCCTCCTCCTCTTCTTCTTCTTCTTCCTCCTCCTCCTCCTCCTTCTCCTCCTCCTCTTCCTCCTCTTCCTTCTCCTCCTCCTCCTCCTCCTCCTCCTCCTCCTCCTCCTCCGCGATGTGTCGCCGAGCCCAGGTCGATGTTGTCCGCCCTAGCCGGGCCAGGTCCCCACCCTCGCTGCCCGAGCCCGCCCGGGAGCGTGGGGCGCGGGCACGCGAGGTTTTCGGTCGGGCCGGTCCCCCCTACAGGGGGATTTTGGACGACAGACCAGAAATGACCCCAAAAATATACCCAGAGATCCAGCGCAATGAAAGAATCAAGACGGAGGTGTTTCATATTTTTCGGCCTCGAGGGGCCCTCGCCGGGCCCCGGGACCGTCAAAAAACGACTCAGGATGAGAAACCGGCCCCGAGGAAAGGGTCGAGACTTCTGGGGACCCCGCATTGAAGAAAACATCACGACATCGGATCTCAGGGTACTCCACAAATGCTCAAGAATGATCCAGAACTCGTCCCCAGACTGTTCTTGGACGATTTTTGACTGCTCCTCCTCTGGAGGCACCGGCCCGACTCGAGCGAAGCCGGAGGCTCCCGCTCCGCCTCCAGCCGCGGCCCTCCCCGGAGCACCGAGCGCTCCCGAGCAGCCCGCCCGCGCGCCCCCCTCGGCGGGCCCTCGGACCTCCCGGCCGTGCCCACGGAGGGGCGCCCTGGCGCTTGCGATCCAGAGGGTGCCCATCCCACGTCCACGGATGCAGAGGGTGTCCACGGCGCTCGTCCACACGCTCGTCCACACACACACGTCCACACACACGTCCACGGATACAGAGGGTGTCCACGTCCACGGATGGGCGCCCTGGCGCTTGCGATCCAGAGGGCGCCCTGGCGCTTGCGATCCAGAGGGTGTCCACGGATACCGACGCATCTGGGCTCCAGGGAGCCCCATGGCCGCTCGGAGGTTGCCGGCGAGAGCCGCGCGTCGCGCATCGCGGGGCGCGGGCACGCGAAGTTGGAGGTCCCCGCCTGCCGCCCCGGCTCGAGCCGTGGCCCTCCCCGGAGCCTCGAGCGCTCCCAGGAGCCCGCGCGCGCGCGCCCCCCTCGGCGGGCCCCAGGGCCTCCCGACCGCGCCCACGGATGGTCGCCGCGGGAAGCTCCCACACGGTGCTGCTCAGGAGCGACGGCACGGCCGTGGCCTTCGGCTGGAATTTCGAGGGCCAGTGCGCCGTGCCGGCGTTGGACGGTGGCCTGAGCTACACGCAGGTCGACGCGGGACAAAACCACACGGTGCTGCTCAGGAGCGACGGCACGGCCGTGGCCTTCGGCTCGAATCACGCTGGCCAGTGCAGCGTGCCGGCGCTGGACGG